ACTCCTCCAAAGATCTTACTATTCTCATCAGCGGTCCTTTTGAGAGCGTTACATGCGATCAAATGAGACTTGCACTAAAGATCGTGGAACAATGGTGCGTAGCACACAACCTGACAGTGAACCCATCCAAAACAGAGATGATCATGTTCACAAACAAACGCAGCCTAGGAAATCTCAGACTTCCCAAGCTATTATGAACACAACTTACTCTTACCAAAGAGGTCAAATACCTAGGAGTAATACTGGACAGTAAACTCCTGTGGAATAAGCACCTCGATGAAAAACTGAATAAAGCCTGCATTATTTTCTGCCAATGTAAACGGCTACTCGGCAAAAGTGTCGCTTAGCAAGTTGCGATTTACACAATTGTATTATGCAAACTTTATCTATTCTTCGTTTTTCTATATTAGAAATATAAGGGAGATCTGCGTGTTTACGAAGTAAAACCGTTAATAAGAAGAGCTTTCTTACTGTTAAAAATTTTAACTCATGGTATAGCTGAGATGTAGCGTACCATATGGGCTTAAATGACATGATTTTTAATACACCCCGGTGAGCTCTTTCGAGAGTAAGGAGTTTGACTTTACCTGCACAGCCCCAGGCCGCGACACAATATCCTGCCACTGACTGTACCAACGCCAAAAATATAATTTTAAGTGTAGGGAAATCAAGAACCGAACGCAGCCTCTTGAAAAGATACATGAGTTTTCTAATTCTGCAGGTAGTTACTTTTACATGTTCCTTCCAAGAAAGATGATTGTCAATCCAGACTCCAAGATATTTGACTCTGGATTCACGAGCGATTTGCAAACAGTTACAGATGGTTTCTTTATCACAAGATGGTATATGGGAATAAAGGACAAAAGAGGGAGGAGGAAGAGAGACTGAGTTGGGTGAGAAAGTGAGACACTTGGTTTTGTCTACGTTTAGTGTAAGAAAATTTCGAGAAAACCAGTGAGTTACTGTAGACAATGCTGCCTCAGCATGAGATTGAGTATCATTCCAATCTGCCCCATTTACAAGTAGAACAGTGTCGTCAGCGTACGTTATTATTTTGCAATTTCTTATAGCCAATTTGCAAAGGTCGTTTATGTATATTAAAAACAGGGTAGGTCCAAGGACACTACCCTGGGGCACCCCAAAGAGCAAGGGTTCACGTTCGCTTATGACACTACCCATCCTAACATACTGAAAGCGATGCTCAAAATAGCTTTTGAAGAGATTGTGTACAACGCCTCTAACGCCAATACACTCCAACTTCCCGAGTAGGGTGGAAATAGGAACAGTGTCAAAAGCTTTTGAAAGGTCTAGAAATATAGCAGTCGATTTAAGGTTTTTATTTAGATTTATGGTAATAGAATCAGTCAAAGTTAAGACGGCATCTTCAGTGATATCTCTCGCTACCGTACTTGCTAGAGTGCTTGACAGCATGCTCAATACACGGTTAAGTAAATTTCTAATTTAATATAGCAACTAGTTCGAGTCCCGATCAAAACTGTCGACTGAGACCGTGGCACCATGTCTAAAGCATGCTGCCAGATACTATACTGGGCGGGAGGCACCCATTTTTGCCTGTTTTCTTGACCTGTCAAAGCTTTTGACCTAGTTTCTCACGATGTACTATGGGATAAGTTAAAGAAAACCAGAATACCATCTAAAATCATTAACATCTGGAAGTTCTGGTATGAAAACCAGACCATACTGTTTGTAGAAAAGCCGACAATGTACTTCTCCTGACCCTCAGCGGTAGGATTTTACGGAGAGTTTATAGCTTCATACATCTTGGCCACAAAAAGTAACCTCTGACCTCTGCGACCACTCGGAATAGGCCAAAGAACACCATATCTTCACAAGAAGATACTACATCCAGATACATGGAAATGACCGAGATCAATCCGGCATTAACGAAGTCCGAATTTACACGGACGGTTCCAAGACTAGGTCAGGAACTGGAGCCGGAGTTCTCTCGCAAGACCTAAATATGAACATATCACTAGCGTTAGGCCAACACAGTTCCATATTTCAATGTGAATTTGTGGCAATAACTTACGCTGCCACAACGGCCATGTCAAGGGGTATCAAGGACTACAACATCCGAATAATATCCGACAGCATGGCCGTCTTAAAGGCACTTGAGGGCAACACAATTACCTCTGGTACTGTCTTCGAATGCCATCGAGCACTGGAACAGCTCGCTGCATTCAATGGGGTACTCCTCCAATGGATTAAAGGGCACAGTAACTCACACGGGAACGATGCCGCAGATGAGTTGGCAAGGAGGGGCTCGGCAACCCCGACTTCCGGCCCAGCCACACTCCTGCCCATATCGTTTAACCAAATACGATGCTGGGTCAGGCAACGGACCTGTGAAGCACACAACTGGAGGTGGAAAAACTCACCCGACTGCAGACAGTCCAAACTGGTGCTGAATCAAGTCACACCACGACTCACCTGCAGATTGATCAGTCTTAGCAGACTGGAAATCAGAATGGTTGTCGGAACTATTACAGGACATTTAGCCCTGAACCGACAACTATTCATCATCAATGCGACGGACAGTCCCCTGTGCAGGGGATGTCTGGAAGCAGAAGAAAGGGCCGTCCACATAATCCTGGAATGCGAGGGAGTGGCCACACAACGGGCAAGTATCATTCCCGATATAAAGTCGCTCCTAGAAGCCTGTGAACGCCCCAGGAGGCTTCTGCGCTTCTGGAAGGAGCTTGGCTGGCTCACCTAGTCAACCAATCCTCGACGCATAAAGGACCACTCTGAGTCTAAATGCGGAAACCGAAGCCCACTACCAATACCAATACCCTCATCGGTAGGATTTTACGGAGAGTTTATAGCTTCATACATCTTGGCCACAAAAAGTAACCTCTGACCTCTGCGACCACTCGGATATTGAACGAGAAAGGAGGGCGTTGTCACTAAGAGCGAACTTCTAGTCCGCAGGTTCGCGCGTTGCTCACTTAATGTGAAAATCACACTTTTTCGTGCATATTGTAACACCTGCAGCTTGTGGGCTAGATTCACTCAAAAGTCCTACAACACCCTCAGAGTACAATAGAAAAATGGATTCAAGCTGCCTCGCTTCTAATAGCATCCTACGCATTAAATCCAGCAGACTGGATTATACGTATGTAAGTAGCTGCTGTGCTGTCTCTGCCGGGATAGCACAGCAGTGACTCACTTTTGTCTGGTCACTTGAATAAATAATAATAGACGCGTCCCCTGATAGAAAGCGACTACCGCCTCTCATGAGTGCCTGCAACTCAGAAGTCAACGTGGCCGGCCTTTGAGGAAGGAATACGCTCTTTTCTTGAAAGTTTGGAGGTCGTATCGGTCAGGAAATACCGCATACGATAACTCGTTTCACAGGTTGGTTGTGGAAGACAAAAAGTGTCAGAAAAGGTACGCACAGTGGTGGAGTGCCAATTATTAAAATGGTGGGGATGAGAATGTTATCATGTGGAACGAATGCGGAAAGGCTCGAACAATGCCTCGGAGCACTCTCGACTTATGAATATCGATTGAAAATAGGGCTTTACGCACTGATTTCTGGGTGAATCGGATTTCCGGCATACAGCTATGGCACTGCGGTATGGTCGGCGGTACGTTTCCCCCATCATTCAAAGGCGAGTTAGATGCAAAGAGTTCGCCTAAGAGATCGGCTTTCTCCTTGGCATCATAGGCCAAAGAATTATCACCCACCTGCAGGGGTGAAAGCGATTGGCTACAGAAATTCCCCTAGACAGCCTTGGAGACCAAAATGCACGAGTTCTTAAAACAACTATGAATGGTAAATTCTCTCACCAATCCGGCTGATGTGCTCCAATTTCACCCCAACAGTGACTCTTTTGAGTTGTATTGCTTTTTTTGGGGTCCTGTTACTTTCATAACCTACTGTCGTTGCATTAGCTCATGTTTGGTAACATTCTTGCTTTCGGCGAGACGCCGTTTGCAGGATTTGTCCAACCAAGGCTTGGATCTGCCACCGTTGCATGCCCTGAAGCGCTGGTACCCCCCTGGGGTTTTCTGTGAGGTCCTGGTATCGCACCGGTTGAGCCGGCCCGTTTTTGACGAAACATGTCCTACCCGCTGGAAGGTTTTGGCCTACGGGCACGCTGGCCAGACAGGTTGGAATAGGGTTTATTTCAAGTTTTCCTTCAGTACTGTTGTCCTGCGTATTTTGCTCCCTTAGTCGGCTCTTACGACACCCACGGGATGAATAGGAGTGGTGACACTTTGTATTCTTATTTCGTCACCAAACTGACAAGGGGTAGCGGAGGAGCAGACGCGACCCTGATGGTAAGTGATCACAGCCCATGGACACCTGCAACTTAAGAGTCACAAGTGCCTCGCCGCCCTTTGACTCCTGCCCTTCAGAATCAAGAATGTTCGCAAAGCTGCGAAAAAACAATTAAGTTCCTATTATACAGCAAAATATAAATTTAATTGCTCTTTAATCTAGAGCTGAGCTGTCCAAACGAAGGCCCGCGTCTTAAATATAAGCGGCCTGTAAAAGGTTTTTTTTTTAAGTAAGAAAATTTTCAATTTTTTATTTTCAGAGCGAAAATTTTGTTACATGTTTTTTTGGAATACCATATTATCTTCTCAAAAAATGGGTTTGATGATGAGTCGTACCTATCTTTGTGAAAGTGCATATTCAATTAAGAAGTTTATAAAATCGAAATATAGATCTTCATTGACAGCTTCATCTCTTACGCATGCACTGCGTTTAGCAACAACTAATACTGATGTTGAATTGTAAAAGATAGATTTATGAAAACGAAATCCTCTGCAAATAATGATTTACCTATGTTTTTGTCATTTCAAATATTTTTTGCGGCCCTCCAATATATAGTATTTTTTATTGGCCCTAGATCTTTTCCGGTTTGGTCAACCCTGGTCAAAGGCATCGCCTCTAGGCGTTAGATAAATAAAACACATAACTGTATCGAAAGTATATAATATTAAAATCTTCTCAAAAATCGTTGATCTTATTTCATATTTAGTGCACCATGTACTATGGTAACCGCACAAATAACGAAGGTAAAACTGCCTACAAATATTATTAACATATAAGTTACTATATTGCCAGCCCATTGTTTAAACTGTGTCGTGTAGAACCCCAGGCAAACGCACATGAAAGACATAGAGAATGCAGTTAGACCAAATCCCATATGTATCAATCTAAGATTAACAAAATTATGTAATCCGAGTGGTCCAGTTATTATGGTCAATAATGTAAAAAACAGTGTTATGTGACCTGAAAAGTAGAAAAAATAACTTTATACAAGCATTTATAACTCAAAAATCCCTAATCACCGATTAGAAAATAGCTGATAATCTTGAAATGATTACAGATTTTCTTGAAATATGGTTAAAAATACTCTCGATAAATACTTACATAAATACAAGTCTGAGCTCGCATTCTAGACACCGTAGCTGGAGCATGTGATGAATCGTCATGTATGTTTGTATGTAATTCAGCAAATATATATATGTGTGTTTATTTCAGTGTGTATGTATGTATATTGTATATCTGTCCCACTGTTTCTGTCCATCTCCTCAATAAATATCATTATCATCTTTTAATTACAAAAAACTTAATTTCTAGTGCACCTACTCAGACATTTCCCCACCACCCAAAAGTTGATTAAGAGAAAATACGTTGGGCATTAAGTCCATCATTGTACAGTTAATTTGTAATTTCTGTATAAAAAATTAAATAAAAAAATACGTACATTACAAGTATCTAGTGGTGTACGCGTTAAAATGTAAAGCAAAAAATAAAAAGAAAATTATACTTCCATTGCAACTGAACAGTAGCAACGAGAAGATATTGCCAAAACAACCTCCCTGTGGTAATATTTTCTACAACGCTCCTTAGGTAAGTGCTACAGATATGTATATCTGTTTCGGGCATTGTGTTTAGATTACTTCGTTTTACACCTTATGTTTCCACAAGACTTAACAATAACCATAGATAAATGATTAACGCTCACTGTCAAATTGACTACTTGAAAAAGTATCAATGGTATGAATTGCTACACCTAGAATCGGTGGTGTTAAATACTTTGATGTTCAAAGGAATCATTAATAGGAACTAAAGCAACAGTTTCACCCTACGTGGGAATCTATATTAGTTAGAGCGAAAGCTAAAACCAGTTCAGTTTATTCTCGTACCTTCATGCTTTTCGTCATTGAAAACTTTATTTTGTTACTACGAGTTTTTGTTTAATTTTATAATAAGATAGTGACTTTCGAGGATTATGTGGTATATAAATGGCACACGATTACAATGTACTCGTGTCATAGGCTCACGGGTTCGATTTAAACTCAGTGCAAATAATAAGAGGCACTTATAAATTGAATAATAATAATTTTAATAATATTATGGACATCTGACACACAACGCCATCTAGTTTCAAACTAAGCAAAGGGAAGCAAACCCGGGACCTCAGCACAGCACAGCAGTCGCATACGCTACTACAGCACCACCGAGGCAGTCAAACCGACGTCAAAATCTTAGTACAATTGTATCACCAACAAGCATGGGAGGTATTCTATACGAAGCATATCGATTTACAAATACATTACAACTTACACATTACAATTTAAAGAAGAAGTCATTCCTTTTAAATCCAAAAATTCGACAACGAAAGCTCAAGTAAAAAAATATTTGTTGTATAAGTTTATATCATCATCGACTCGAACCGATCAAAAACCGCACGCTGTCTTGAGTAACCAGTAGCTGGGGAACCAGGTGTACCCTAGAAAGGAAATCCCTGGTACCCCGTACCTCGGGCCGTCCACGGCGTGTAGATGGCGCCCTCCTGTGTGGGAACCCCCATGTTCCCTTTGTGCTCCCAAAAGGGGCGCGCGCACTCGGCAGCGCGTCTCGCCGCCATTCCGGCCTGCTTCTGCTAGGGTGACAGATGGCCTCACCTGTCACCCCCAGGCCTGCGCTTATGGAGGATGGATGTCGTTCTGCGACCTCCGGCGCCCCAGTCGTCTGCGGTACCTGGTCCGTTCCCGAGCCTGGCGGGCCGGGAGAGTTCTAAACCTCTACCGGTCCCGCTCCGCTATTTCCTTCGCAAGCATAACTTGCTCGCAGAAGGAGAAGTTTATATCTCCTAAAAGTAAACTAACTGGATAATTTGAACAAATTTCAGAACCGTTTTTGGTGACCCCCTTCACAGAGAAGGTAACTAGTAGTTGCTTGCGGCTTCACTAGTATAAAAGTTATTTTCCCACCCCTGAGGTACTTTTTTTCTGAATGAAAGATATATATTTCTGGGCGTCTGACAACGTACGTGCAAATTTACGATAATCGGTAGAGTATTTGAGTTAGTAATTCAGAAAGAATTCGTGCCTGCCGCCACAGCGTTGATTTTTCTTTTTTATAAACTATAAAACTTTAAATATAAAGTAAAAGTACTTTTACCTGTTGACCCGTGGTAACTTGATGCTACTCCAAAAGAAGATATAGGAGGGACTAGACCAGATATAGCACAGCTGATGCCACATATTGTCAGCATTATATGTGCACACACGCGATGCTTTAATCGCAAGTGTGCCGACCAACCATTTACGTAACTAAGACCTAATATCGCTTCAGCAGAAAACAATTGATACTGAAATTAATAGAAATGCATTAGGTAGTCTGAAAAAACGGTTCATACAGTAGTTCAAGCTTATATCTCCACGAAAGAAAGCAAATTAAATGCCACATTTTACCATATAAAAATAAGATGACTCTATTGGTGACAAAGATGGATTTTGGGAAGAAAACGATACAATAGAAAGATCGTTGAAAAATAAAGATCGATTAGAAGACAGTGGAAGAAAAAAGAGAATGGCTTATCTCGAGCATCTTATCTTATTCTGTAACTAGAACTGAATATTGCCGAAGAGTTCCCTAACATTAAAAAAAATGCTTACCCCTAAAGTGCATAAAATGGCATGTACGTTTCCTGTATTAAGAGAATACATGAACGTCACCATTGTGGTAGCTCCAATAAACATGTGAGTTAACCCAACACCAAAAGCGAAGCCAACTGTACGATAATATTCTCCACGACTTTCAATGACTAATATTTTTACAGGAGCAAATTTCAATGATTTTTTCTCCAGATTGATTCCAGGCATTATTCCAGTAAGCTTTTACTAATAAGTCGCCTCTTTCCATAACATATACTTTGCGTTATATTCCGGTAATTTATTTTGTTTTTGACAGTTTGATAAGTAATCAATTAGTGACTACCCAATACATCTTTGAATGAAAATCACAATCGAATTTATTTAGAAAGAAGTTCAAATACATCAAATGTTCCGGAGAGACACTAATGGTTGACGGTGAAATGAGTTTTTCAGATTATTTGCTAACGAATAAAAAAGACAATAACTAGATATATATAATATAATAAATATGCACAATATATACATACATACTTCGGATTTATACTACTACTACTACACATTTGTATATACATAAAAACAAATAGTTATACATATCAGCAAGTATGTAGCTGTCTTAATTACGATACAAAAAAATCTTGAACCATTTTCCTAAAACGGTTTGCGCTCACCTGATGTTTATCGGCAATGCATTCTACAAGCGTATAGCTTCAACAGTCAAACAAACTTCACAACGAAAAGGCCATAAAATTTTGTAGAATGCACAGGCATCTCAAGCCTCAAATCTTCGGATGACCTCAGACTCAGATTTTTATGTGTATCATGAAGGAACTTGAACCGTTCTTTGAGGTAAAAGGGGGCTCTAGGATTGAACAAGACGTTATGGAGAAAAATAAGTCTATGAAAATTCCGGCGACAGCGTATTGGAAGCCACTTGAGCTTTTGACGGAATTCAGAAACATGACTATATTTTCTTAGTCTAAATACAAATAGTATACAGTGATTTTGAAGTCGCTCAAGCTTATCAAGTTGTGCTTAAAACAGAAAAATAAAACAATAAAAATTCTGATTTGAAATTTAAATATACATCAATCGTTCATGGTCGTGACACCAGTGGGGCCACCGAGGATCCAAGTAAAAAATCGTTACCAATTTTTTTTTCCTTAAACCTGCGATCAGTCGCCTAGACATGTCCCAAATGAAAAAAAGAAACAAAGACAGTATTTAAATATTTTGTGACTAAATTATTTCTTGTCTTTGCACACAATGTCTTATAGGTAAGCTATTGTTACATTACATTTTCGATTGCGAGAAATTCTTAAACACCCACACCAATTGTTGTTTATAGACTTAAACAAAATTGCCAAGTATTAATAAAATAAAACATAAATACATGCGTAATAATTGGAATGTTGTTACTTATACCCTAGTCTCTACCATTTACTTTACGTGACATTATCAGAATCTGTTCTCAAACGATGGAGCCGAATTATTAAAAATGTGATTATATTTAGTTGTGACGTTTACAGACCCACACATTTTCTTTTGCTTAAAATGTTTTTTAATATTGATATTATAATATAAATCTACAAATATGAGCTATGATGATGATAGTGACGATAATCCTTGCGATCTCGAATGTGTAAGAGGCGGTGGACGTGTGCAGGAAAGAGTTTTACACGAATACGAAGGACCGGTGAAGATAACTTTAGTTGACTTACTTGATGTTGGTTTTTGGCCTAGAGTCTGGGGTGCAGCGCTCATAACTTTGGCTAGCTTATATATCGCTGGCATTGTTGCAACAATGGTTTTTTTTTCATTATCCTTTACAGCTCCAACAGCTGTAAATCTTCATATTGCTATGTGTATGGCTGGGGTAAGTCAAATTGTTGTAAACATTGTTTTTAATTTGTTAAGATCAAACTACAAATACACAAGTTTACCGTATGTACCATTTTGTAAATGTGCATTAAAATAAATAAGTCTATACAGTCGAAAATAATGAAACCATACACAGGAAATATAAGATGTGGATATTTAAGATTATCTATTTCACCTGAAATCTAGTACCTGCAATCAGCTTGCCGTGTAACGATTTTCCCACAGTACTTTTTCTTTTGACCTACTAAATATTCATCAAAAAAATTCATAACCCATCGAATCAATAAAAACTTTGGATAGCGTTCTTTATATTTTATTGGTCTTTGGCCACGGCTCCACTCGCGTGTATGTCGGTTATCGGGGTATATTAAAATAGCATATGTTACTTGATGAAAATGTAGCTTTTCATAAAATATTTTTTAAAATCGGTTAGTGATCTAGGCGTGCAAGCATAACGCAATTACTTTCACAGTTTTAGTGTATAAGTATGGATTTCATTACAGTTTCAATTACTATTGCCAAATGGTATATTGATGCTGAATCCTTTGTTCGGTGGTGCATCGCAGTTGCTGGGGCACGACAGACTGGGGCAGCACATATTCTTACAGCTATTCGGTTTTGGCTTTATATTCATAGGGAGTATGCACGTATGCACATCTGTAGACTCACTCCCAGGAAATCCGCATACCATAACAGGTACTAATTTTAAATATTTTGTAGCTTTGTTAATTCATTAGGATTGGGTCAAATCTTGAAAGCTAAATGACAACTATTTAATTTCATCCTGAGGAATTAGCATGTTAAATGTTGGCTTAATTGCGATAACAGTGCATTTTTATGATAATGCATATCATATTTTATTCTGAAATTAAGATAAGCTGACAAGGAATCATCTCCACCTCAACAATAATTCCTACACACATGAAACTATATATTGATTGCATTATATAACTACTACAACCGAGATTGACTCCGAGGAGGGAGTTCCTCTCCGGTTAACCGTACATCTACTTCATATACGCATTGAATCATGATACGCATTGAATCATGATACTTCTTTCATATCTGGAACTCCTCTGATAATCTCAGAGCACATCAAGAAATGCATTCAATTTTGATGATTTCTTATGACTGTATGGATGTAGCAATGGAAAGTACCTAAGCAGCTACACTGCGATGTAACTATTTCGCTCCAATATTTTTTACAAGTCGTGTCATTTTATAAATTATTTGAATATTTTTATACTATTAAGTAAATATTAAGTAATAACATAGAAGTTTGTAGCGAGAGACATCCTGTTTTTTAATAGCATATGCTTTTTTCTCCAGGAATTATGGCACTACTTGGTACATGTGTTGCCGTAACATTAGGTGCATTGCATCACTACAAGGACATGTCTAAACTCAAGATGGCCCACAAAGTAGCCGGAATGGTGACTTACATAGTATCGTCGCTATGCACGTGTTTCGCAATAATGAAACCATCCTTTAAATCTTGGTGTAAAACAGGACTAATCAAAGAGGTGCCATACATACTGCTTATACTTTGCGCTCTTTGCACAGCTATTATCATGATGGCAGTCAAATGTAGAGTCCATGAGCGAAATAAAGTTACTTTAAATTATTTATTTTTTATTGATACATTTTTATTAAATGAAAAATGACTCAAATTGTAAAAGAATAGAAGATCTAAAAATCTAATAATTAACTAAGGGTATTTTCGTTCTTAATCATCTGTAGAGTTTAAGTGCCTGTTTCTCATATTTAGAATGTCATTGGCATGGAAAGTGCAACTTGTGTTTTTAATATTATTCCTATAATCCTTTCTCTTTGCCTCCAGCCTTGAATATGGACCATAACGCACCCTTATGGGGTAGACAATCGTCGTAATGTAATTGATAGATTTAATATTAAAATCTCTTACATAGAACTTGGTGCCACTTATTGCTTTCCGTAATGAAAATAAATACCAATGAGTCTTAATGACTAATGATGAAATTAGTATCTAAACACCAAACGATATCTATAAGTCAGAAAAAGGAAAAAATCGTAGAAAGATCTTTCTACGTTAACAGTAGATACGAGTACTACTCGTATGTGTAAAAAAAGTTTAGACAATATCATGAACCAACCGATACCTGAATCTGAAATAAATAATAATTTCTTTCGAATTCGAATTCGAATCGGATCAATGAGCTAGTGAGCTAAACGAGTTAGTGAGCTAAAGGAGCTAGTGAGCTAGATGAGTGATATATATCTTTAGAGCGAAATGATATGTATCAATCTTTTCAGCTCAGTGATACATTTTGCGCATCACTAATTGTTGCGCACTAGGATTAAATGGTTCGATTGCATGGAATGTGGAGTGCGCCATCTAGTATCGACTCAAGTACATTTATTAAGATTGTGATTAATACGAGTTCTGATCCTAACAGCGCTAGATTGCGCTGCAAGTAACGCGTGACTGATATCGAATACTAGGAACTATCTAGTAAAATTAAAAGCACAATAAAAGTGAAGCGTGTTGGCCGTTCGACACAGTTTCGTTTTACGACACAGCGAATTAACATCGGAGTGAATTTCTAGTGCGACTAACAAGATATGATTCCTAGTAGTGAGTGTTTGTAAATACAGTGAAATAAAGTAATTAACCGACAACTTTTATTTATTATATACTCCGGTCGTAACAGTATCTTTAGGAGAAAAGCCTGGTTACCTTATAAAAACTGATGAAGAGCTTTTAAAATTATGATAAGGAAAATATCTGATTTCATGAATACAGTTACAAATTACTTTAAATTATTTTCTTCAGACACTTTTTACTATTATCATAATTTACTGTAATGCTCAACAAAACTATACGTAGTTTTCATGTTGCTAAATATATAATATAATATAATATAATACATGAAATGAAGCCAATTTGAGTTTTATGATTTATATATAGAAAATAATATTATTATTTTTCAGGGTTGATTATTAATTGTGTATACTAAATTGATTTTATCTAATCATGAATACATGGGTTATTCCTACACCAAGGCAATCCATTCTAAACCACGGTTGCATTCGCAGCGGTTTTTAAAATCGTGTACTGAAACTTCTGGCAGGTAGCCATTTAGCCCTATCAGCCGGATTGGCCGGCTTAAAGACGGTCCCAATGCAAGTAAATCACGTAGAGGAACAAAGATATCAGATAATAAAAAGAAACAAAATAGGTACTTAATCCATGTTATTATGATACTGCATTTGCCAATCTACTCCCCTGATAACAATTATTGTATAAAACAGCACACAGACTGAGAGTACAAATGGCATTTCTCTTAATTCCATTATACCAGACCATTTCTGAAATGAAGGTTTAAAAAAACTTGTACAGAAGCATAACGACGACATGACGAAACAAACTACACCGCATGCTGTGTGGACATACTTGATCTTCTTTAGTGTTATGGCTTCTTTTGGCGAACATATGCCAGTGTGATACAGCAGCGGTCCAATGAAAAATGCTGGTATTGAAGATATTAAAGTCAAAAGTCCTGAAAGGAAATGATTGGTTTATTTTTGACTTATTTAAGAAGCAGGTCTTTCTCAATAGGGTGGTACAAGCATTTCATTTCTAAATTTAGAATTTATTGTAATTTATACACAAATCCTCAATTTTTTTTAAAATATCGACTGAATTGTAGTTTTCAAAGTAACCAACTCATAAACTGCATTGTGATTTATGTGTGCGTATATTAATGATACATATGTGGACGTATATTAACAGAAAGATGCCGTCAATTTTAGCCAAATGGAAGATACTCGTAGTAGGATGAATGTTAAAGTTGGAAGTATTGCAAAATATTTAATTAATATACAAAACATTTACCAAAGCCTCAAATACTCAACTAGTTTCAAATCTACATACCGAGAAAAACATAATAATATTCTACCACATACACACAACGCCATCTAGTCCCAAACTAAGCTGAGCTTGTACTATGGGTACTAGACAACTGATATAAATACATATATACTTTTTTTTGTAAATACATACATATTATACATAGAAACACCCAGACCAAATCAAACATCAAATGTTCATGCACACAAATGTTTGACTTGAGCGGGAATCGAACCCGCGACCTTTGGAATAGCAGTCCGTTACACAAACCAGTACGCCATCCGGTCGTCAAATAAAACGTTTTACAGTTTCATTGTTTCATATGATAACTAAAAGTGTATAGTTGGAATAAATAAATAATAATAAACTCGCACATTTCACACACGGCCGTCTGATCCCAAACTAGGCAGAGCCTGTACTATGGTAACCAGACTGCTGATGAACAAACTTATATATTTCTAAATACATACTAACTGCCTTGGTGGTGCAGTGGTAGCTTATGCGACTGCTGTACCGACGTCTCGGGTTCGATTTCTAGGTTGGATCAAATGTTTGTATGATCTTCAAATATTTGTTTCAGAGTTTGGGTGTTTTCTATGTATAACATGTAGGTTATATTATAACAAAAAAGTATATAAGTAGTCTATCAGGCAATATAGCTTAGCTCTGCCTAATTTGAAATTAGGTGGCGTTGTGTGTCAGATATCCGAAACATTTATTCTTATATTTCTTTTATTTTTATTTCTTATATTATTCTTATATTTAGATAAATTACACCCAGAGACAGAACAAATGATTATATATTTATTTATATAATAAAAAACTACCACTACACCAACAGGCCAGTCCAATAAAAACTTTGATATGAGAATGTTACGTCTCGTATGCAACGTATGGCAAAAAAATCACACTATAACCACCTGTAATAGTATGTGGATTATAAGGGAATGCCGACATAACGATATAGCAAAGAATATGCAAACCACCGGTCAAACCGAAGATCAAAGTAAGGTGGGTTAAGTAGGCATGCTGCGATTTCCTTTGTCTATTTTTCAGTTGTATTGAAGCACCGAAGTAAGGGTTAAGGATTAAAAAAGCACTTGGCAAAAATAGTTGGAACTGAAACAACAGATAATTGATTAATACAAATTTCATTAAGTTCCTTTCTAGTAGCAACAACACTGCTATGACATCAGCGTTATTGAGAATATCATAACCCACACTTAACTCTAAAATAACAAGCATGCAAAATTCCATGAGGATGGGTTGAACGATACCTTTTAAGATATTAAAAATTAAGAAACAAAAACCGATTTTTGTATATATACAAGTGGTCCTGGCTGATTTTATTATTGACTAGCTGGTACCCGCGACTTCTTTCGCGTGGTATTTGAAAAGCGCTGCCTTAGTGGGCTCGAACCACGGACCGGGCAAAACATTTATAGGGTTTTTCTGAAAAAAAATTGCCTTAAGTTAGTCCTTACATAGACAGCTACCTGGCAGTAAAATAATATCAAAATCGGTCAAGAAGTTTAGAAGATTACCTAGAACAAACAGACAGGCAGACAATAAAAGCTGTTTTTTAGGCATAGCTATCGTGCAAACAACCATGCGAGCATGAATAAAACCTATTATTTTGATATTAAAAACAGACACTTCAATTTTATTTATTGGTATTGATTTTGACAGTGAGAAATAAACTTAAATATTAAACAAATAACAAAACATGAAAAAAAACTAGAATTCCAGTAGTGAATTAAGCCATACAGAACCTTTCAAAACATTCAAATATTACGTCTGTAGGTGCGGTACCTGGCCCATATCCGGGCCTGGCGGGCCGGGAGAGTTCTATACCTCTCCCGGTCCCGCGCCGCCATCTCCTTTGCAAACAAAACTTACTCGCAGAAGAAGACGGTGGAGTTCCACGCACTCTCGCTCTGCACCATTCTCCACCCACGCCGGGCATTCTGCCAGCGTGTGGAGCACCGTGATCAGGATCCGGCCATCGCAGTGGTGGCACTCAGGCGTTGGCTCCTTGTGGATCAGATACAGGTGATCCCCGAAGCATTCTTTCCTAGTGATCACCTGCGTCAACCGGTATGAGAGGGTCCCGTAATGCTTCTCGAGCCAATCCTCCATAACGGGATTTACAGCTGCGATAATGGCGTGCCGGGCGCTCGGTTATCCAAATCGTTCTTTCCACAGTTCCGGTCAGGAGGTCAGGAGGAAAAAATAATCACACCCTATATTATACAACAGTAAAAATGTCACTCACCCCAGTTGTACAGGCAGCAATATGCGCACTAATAAATATAGGAAGTCTGCATATATATGAAAAATATAAAGCCATACACACAGCGGCGCCGATGAACAAATGACAAAAAGCTAAGAGGCTTGACTCCAATATTCTTTTAAATAAGTCGTTTATTGAAGGCTCGACGACAATTATTTTAACAGGACCTTCAAATTGTTGCAAATGACCCTTTTTTACACATTCTAGTGTACAAACTTGGTCACCACCTCCTTTAGTTTTCGGCATGATAATAAATTAATTAGAGAAACTATTTATAAAGAAATATAGGACATTATTACAGTAAAAATATAAAAGAAAATGGAAAAACCTAAAAAAATAATGCTACCATAGAGCAGTACCGACTATATGTATGTCAATATTTAGAAGACTAAAGAGTTTAACATGTTGTCACATTTGTCTATACTTCTTAAATCTATCTATATATTAAGAAAAGAAAATTGCACACAGAATCATAAATATGTGAAATACGTAATGTTTATATATAGAATAAGTGCAGAAAGCTAAAATTTTTAAACAATGTGGACTACATATTTAAAAAGTACGGAAGGCAACACAAAACTATGAATGTCCAGTACATACATGGACCTGTCATGGTACAAAAGTCTGACAGAAATATTGCAAGTTATACTGGTCATTGGAATAAAACAATACATTCCAGGCGATGTCTAGTTTATCGTTTAGATTAGCGTTTCGCATTGTATTAATATACAAACGGGCCCGTTGGTATAGTGGTTTAGTGGTAATTTATAATATGAACAACTGACGGTGGGCATCATGCGTCTATAGTGCTCAATGATTATTAAAAAAACTAGCCTGTATAAACTAGACGTAAGACATAAAACTGAAATTTTTTCACACAATCTCTTTATTAAGATTGTTTTATTTGTTGAAAAGAAGTAATCATGAAAATGCTTGCTACAAGATATTTTACTAAAAAATTTGGGTGTGTTAAATTCCAAGGGACTAAATAAGACTACCAGTCTCAAATCTAGGCAATGGTTTTTTCTCAATTTTTAAAGAGTTTACGCTAAGGCAGCTTGATAGGCCTATCTCATATCTCGACAATGTCATCGAGAACTTTCTTTTATATAGAAACTTACTTTAAACAAGTTATTGAAATACAAATATGAATTCAACTGTGTAACATTAAATAGTTTCAGACAGTTTCCAAAACCGTATTCTGAAATTTTGCGCCTATTTTTTTATTTTTGAATGTAGTTTGCCTTTCCGCGTGACATCGTCGACAAGGGATCGCGCGCCATGTGTACCTTTGTGATCCTCTTTTTCACGCTCTCATAACTGCATTACTGATACACAAACCTTTTACGTAATACACATACAACCGTATCGAAGTCCCAATAAAACTCAAAGTCGAGGAACACAACTCAGTTTTGGAACTTGTTGAAAAACAGAAAACTCTCGACGTCCCATGGGTACGTCCCGTTCGGCCGGCAATAGGTATGCAAAACATTAGAGTCTTTTCAAATATTAATTATTCGATGCGATCATACAAGATTTTAGCTCCGAGGACACAAAACCCTTTACTTTTTATGAACTATAAAAATATTCAGGTGGGAAGGAGCCCGAACCGCATTTTGTTTAATCGTGCCCGTCTGTTACGACTTACAATAAAGAAATACCTAGCTTAGCTTACGATTTACACAATTATTGCACGCTATTATTTTCTATTTCAACAATATTACAATAAAGAAGTTCAATACCCATTGGAAAACAATCCGAGAGTGAGAAACTTTCATCAGGTGACATACGAGTATATAATAGGTCTTTACCTGTGAAATTGCCGTTTTTATGCAATAAGTGAAAGTACTTATTTTTTTAAACTTTTTTATTTCTGTTATTCGAAGTAATCACCCATGCAATCGCCGCATCTTTGCCAACGCATAGGCAGTTTATTGATGCCCTTCTTGTAAAAATCAGCTGGACGGGAGGCAACAAACTCTTCAAAGGCATTTTGTACTGCCTCTCGGGAATTGAATTTTTTACAGCTGTTTTTTGTCCAGCTGATTTTTACAAGAAGGGCATCAATAAACTGCCAATGCGTTGGCAAAAATGCGTCGATTGCATGGGTGATTACTTCGAATAACAGATATAAAAAAGTTTGAAAAAATAAGTTCTTTCACTTATTGCATACAAAACGGCAATTTCATAGGTAAAGACCTATTATTTGGACCTCTGCAATGTACACACAATTATAGCCAACAAGTGCACACATATTTTAGGTAACTCTGTGGTTCGATTTTTTTTTTCTTTTTGTTTAGATACATGAAAATGGACCGTTCCAAATGTAAATACATCTATTATAATCTTAACTGTATTGTCTAAAAAGACATTTGATATCAGACCATTGGTCTAAATTACTTTCTTTCATAAATATACTCCTGAAATATAGGTGAATTTTGTTTATTTGTTAGTTCAAACCAAATCACGCTATGATATTTAGAACCAGAGTAATGGCAATAAATAGTGGTGAAAAATCAGTACACGCCTTGTAAATGATAACAAACAAAGTAAAGTAGTTTGCTAATTAGAGGACTGCAACAGACCGCGATGTTGACCACTTCTGGCCTCTACAAACAGCCGGCAACAGCAACATTAAAGTTGTTACATTGTTGCTTTGATAATCTAAATACCCCATACATTTTTTTATATAAATATAGGTGAAATGTTATACTGAAGTCTATGAAGCATTCTTTATTCGTTTTCAGCTTATATGATTCGGTACACTATCGACAGCAAGAAATACATAAAGAATAGCTCCTAAACAGTACAAATCACAAGAAAATGTTTTTATGAGAGGATTCTTCTTAAGTTTCTATATATCCGCATAAAAACCTGCAAATAGAAAGAAAGTCGAACAGTTATTTCTTTCCTTATTCTAAGGAAGCTCTTAGAACTACGCTATCTTTTGAGTTTCAACAAAGAATCTCCCTAAAACCCCTATTACTGTAACATAGTTAACTTTATCACGAAATGTTTTTATATCTGTTCAACGCTATCGGTAAACTAATACTTTGCTATTGTTATTGAGAGTGGGGTTCGCGCGAATCTAGTACTTATCGTAAAAAATAACGACCCTAACCGTCATATCAATATCAACAAATTGTTTTATTTTATGATAAAATCACCATCAGTATCAAATAGTGTGTGTTACAAATGATCAAATAGATACCACTAACATAACATTTAATATATATTATTCCCAAAACCCTTGTATATACAACAAATTGTATTAAAAGGGCGTTCTAAGCATTATATGCATTATATATCTGAGCATATTTATGAATTTGAATTTCCTTTCTATTCGAGTAAGACGGGTTTTATCGTTAACTTTATTCCATATCACCAAACTGCTACTACGGGGATTTCCAGGCTTTCTTGTGCAAGGCTTTCTTTTGGAGGGATCTTTGCCATAAACCTACAGAATTCTACGTATTCAAGTTCGTGACGGACCACTCCACTGTTAGCCCAGGTGATACAAATAATAAACTAAGTGAATCAAGTGTCCTACTTGCTTTGTGAAAAGTGGTATACTTTACTCGTGGTTTATTAATTGAAAACCCTTAAAAGGATGATGTTTTCTCAATGGAGAATGTTACGGAAAACCTTTTTTGTTAATAAAAACTATTACTGTAAGGTTTCGTGACTAACCATGTCAGGCATTGTAATCAATATCTAGGTACTGTATAAATATAAATACTCATAAGCAAACCTTGCTATATAGTAACAAACTAAAATAGACAATACACATTACACATATTGGAGCATAAAGTGTATTAATCATGAAGATTTGTAACTGGTAGCCAATCTTACACGTGATAATCTATGAAGAAGTATTTTTTTTCCGATAAACATTTTATACTATTATAATGTACACACATATATGAGTAAAATAAAGTTTAAGTTTTTTTATTGGCATGGTTCTTCAATGTATAGTTTTGCGTAGTAACACCACGATGATTTCTACTAAAACCGAATTAATACGGTTTACTCGCATAACTCACACAAACAGAGCTCGCCCGCGCAACTGAACACACCATAAGAACATGAAAAGTTCATAAACATGTAATAACAAGAGACTATAGTACGGACAATGGCCAGGTTCATGTTTTTAATGCTTATTTGGGGATTAAGCTATAACCCGCGCCGAAATTACGTTCCACCCGAGACTCAGGCATCTTCCGACAAAACGATACCTCGGTTTGCCTACCACCATTATCTTTTATTACAACAAAGGTACACGAGTTTGCTTTTTTGACGTATAAATATAAGAAATTGTTGTAATAAAAGTGAATACCTTGGGTCGCCTTAATACAAATAAATTCGTCGGTATACATAGCGGAAAATGTTTTGGAGTTAACACCGCTAGTAAAATCTTTACTGGTTTTGCATGACCTATGTTTTATAAAAACCTTTATTAGATAGTGTCTTGTTTTTTTTCATTAAAGTTTTCTGCATGTTTCCACTACTGTGTCAGGACTCTAGTAGATACAGGTAAACACTTAACATCAGCTGGGATCTCAAGATTCAGGTACATTCAATTTTAGTTATCTGCTAAAATTACTAGGACTACTTAAATGACATTGGCTTCTATTTGCTTAGATTACCATACAATTTATTTTATAAGTAGCTAATGGAAATGGCAGACTTTTACGTTTTACTTTATGTCATTTACCATGCCCGCCATGTCCTACAAGCTTCTATTTTGAATTATAAGTGGCATAAATGACAAGTCTGTGTGGTAACGGCTTAAGAATACAGTGTCACCACCCCTCTTCATCCCGTGGGTGTCGTAAGAGCCGACTAAGGAAGTAAACTACGCAGGACAACAGCACTACAAAGAGAAGGAAAACTTAGAACAAACCCTATACCAACCCGTCTGGCCAGCGTAGTAGTAATAGTAGGTTAAAACCTTATTTCTAAGGAGAGGCCTATGTCCAGCAGTGGACTAGTAAAGGCTGTTGATGATGATGATAAATAACACCATAAGTGACTTGCCAAGGGTATCTTTTAATACTTAGCTGTACAAAAAAAGGAAAATAATTGATTTTGTAGTATTTTCTGTAATCATGTGCGTAACAAAAGACGCGAAACAAGCGTGAAATACTTAATAAAATGAATTGTTAAATTGCCTTCACAGGCTGCTTTTGTTTATCTATGTAATGGCCTAAGTTGTGTACTTGATTCCAAAGGATTTAGTAATAAAA